GCTGGTGAGATGGCTCAGAGGATAAGAGCACTGGCTGCTCTTCCAGAGGTCCTGAGTTCAATTCCCAGCAACCACGTGGTGGCTCACAACCATCTGTAATGAGGTCTGATGCCCTCTTCTGGCCCATAGGGATACATGCAGGCAGAATATTGTATATATAATAAATAAATAAATCTTAAAAAAAAAAAAACCAAAGAAAGAAAGGAAGAAGAAAGTTGAGCCACTGGCATCGGGTTCTTAGTTCTGCACCCCAGCCCACCATGCCATGAACTACACAGCTCTGCCAAGTTTTCTTCACCACGGCGAACCCTTGGAAGTCATGGAAATGAATATGCCTATTTATTTGTTTACTTATTTTTTCCTGTCACAGCTACAAAATCAAACCTAGTTACTACAGGTCCCATCCAAGACACTATATTGAGGTCATTGCCCAACCAGAAAAATCACAATGGCAAATGCCCTAGATGGGAAGGCCCTAAACATGACCATGGCTACAAAATTAAGCCTGACAGGATACAGTTACTTAGGCGTCAGGTGGGTGGGCACCCAGAGAACAAGTACTGCACCTGTCCAAGGAGGTCCACTGGCCTCAAACTTCCAGCAAACTTGGAATGGTGGCACACACACCTGTCATCCATCCCTGGGGAAGTGGAGGCAAAGGCACCAGTAGTTCATCTTCAGCTACATCCCCACTGTCATTGACACTCGACAGATTCTGTCCTATCTACACCAGCTCTTTCTTCTTGTCTCGCATTGTCAACGCCCGCCTGCAGCCTACCCCCAGGACTTGCATTTCATTTTTTGTAATTTATTTATTTATTTATTTTATGTGTGTATGAGTGCTCCACCTGCAGGTACACCCTTACACCAGAAGACGGCATCAGATCCCACTACAGATGGTTGTGAGATGTGGTTGCTGGGAATTGACCTCAAGACCTCTGGAAGAGCGGTCAGTGGTCCTAACCTCTGAGCCATCTCTCCAGCCCAGCCCAAGCGTATGTTTTTTTGTAATTGATTTATTTATATTTTACATGCATTGGTGCTATTTTGCCTGCATTCATATCTGTGTGAGGGTGTTGGGACCCCTGAAACTGAAGGCAAAGACAGTTGTGAGCTGCCATCCATGTGGGTGCTGGGAATTGAACCCTGGTCCTCTGGAAGAGCAATCAGTATGCTCTTAGCCACTGAGCCATCTCCCTAGCCCCCAGGATTTGCATTTCTTAAGGGCTATTACTCTTGTAAAAATCTGTCAAATGTTAGACCCCAGCTGCAGATACTGCAACCCTCCTTTTCCTACCCACCAGGCCAGAGGCTCTCTCCCCGAGACTGACGGGCAACTTGACTTTACCCACAAGCCCACAGTCAGACAAGTTAGATACCTCCTGGTCTTAGTGGACACATTCTCAGGGTCAGGGGAGGCACTCCCCACCACAACATAAGGATTCAGACAGTCTCCTCTGGGAGATTGTAAACGAAGACTGCTCTTTTGTTTCTCAGTCACCCAGACCCGAATAATCACAGAGAAACTATATTAACTACAACCCTGTTTGGTTGACGTCTCAGGCGTATTTCTAGTTAGCTCTTACATCTTAAATTAACCCATTTCTATTGTTTTATATTTTACCACGAGGCTTGTGGTTTGTTACCTCTTGCTTCCTGGGCAGCTACATGACTTCTCTTTGACTCCATCTACTCTCTCTAGCTATCTCTTCCAGCCTGGCTATATATATAATCCTCAAGTGCTGGGATTACAGGCTCGTGCTTGGTTTATATAGTGCAGTGGATGGAACCCAGGGCTTCGAGCATGCTGGGCCAACACGCCACTGATCGATTCTACCGACCTGTATTTCTGCAGGTCTTTGTCAAGATTCATTAAGATGTACACTCAAGATTTGTAAATTTGGCCGGGTGATGACGGCACATGACTTTAATCCCAGAACTTGGATTGCTATGAGTTTGAGGTTAGCCTGGTCTACAGAGCTAGTTACAGGATGGCTCCACAGAGAAACCCTGGCTAGAAAAACAAGAAAACAAGAACAAAAAAAGATTGGTAAATTTTATACATGAATTAAAAGAAAAGAAAGAAGGACCACTAAGAGAGAAACTGGAGCCTTTGGAAATAAAGTTTCTCCCCAAAATGAAAAAATTAATAGAAAGGCTAGGAAATAAATTTCTGTGAACACAGGGTAAGCACAAACGCTACACGGGAGGAGACCTACATCTTAGCATCGGCCATTCTGGCTGGTACACATCCCTAGAAAAATGGCCTTGAAGATAATACCAAAAAAAATGGGAGTGAAACCATGAGATTGTATTTTATATCTAATTAATCAACTAAGAATCGCTTTGGGGCTGGAAAGATGGCTCAGTGGTTAAGAGCATTGCCTGCTCTTCCAAAGGTCCTGAGTTCAATTCCCGGCAACCACATGGTGGCTCACAACCATCTGTAATGAGGTCTGGCCTGCAGGCATACACACAGAGTATTGTATACATAATAAATAAACTGTTAAAAAAAAAGAATCGCTTTGGCGATATTTAGCTGTTGCTTTTCGACAGGTGAGCGGGTACAGTCCTTTCCAGAAACCGTTGGAAAAGCTGAGCATCATCCATCATATCAGGGCTTATCTTTTGCCCAGGAAAACTCACGGCTGCAAATCCGTCCAAAGATAATGTCTCAGGCTGGTTGAGCTGCTATAACTAAATACCATAAACTAGGTAGTATATACATAACAATTGACTTCTTACACGCCTGAAGAGTGTGAGACACGAGTAGATTGGGGTGTGCATTTGTATGTGTACATATGTGTGTGTGTGTGTGTGTGTGTGTGTGAACAGAGGGTACTTTTTGGGATATAGATGGATTTTTCTGTGTTCTCACATAGCAGAAGGGACAAAGCATCCTTCTTCCTGGGATGCTTTAAACTTTTACTACATTCCTCTGTGTGTGCTTGTGCACTATGGTACAAGTGGGAGATCAGAGGACAGCTTGCAGGAGTCGGGTTCTTTCCTTCCACTGTGGATTCTGGAGATCAAACTCAGGTCATCGGGTTCGGAGGCAAGCATCTTTACCAACTGAGCCATCTCACTGGCTTCCAGGTTCCTTTTATTTCATTAGGACAAGGTCTGGCTATGCAGCCCCGGTTGGCCGGGCGCTCTCCACAATCTGCATGTCTCTACTTCTTGACTGCTGAGGTGCCAGGTTCTGGGGTGCTTTTACAAGGAAGTGATAATCTGCTTTTTTAAAATTAATTTATTTTTATTGTATGTACATTGGTGTTTTGTCCACGTGTATGTCTGTGTGAGGGTGTCAGATCCCCTGAAGGTAGAGTTACAGGAACTGACATGTGGCCATGTGGGTACTGGGAATTGAACTCAGCCTCTTTTTTGTTTGTTTGGGGTTTTTTGTTTGTTTGTTTTTTGTTTTTTATTTTTGAGACAGGGTTTCTCTGTAGCTTTGGAGACTGTCCTGGAACTAGCTCTTGTAGACCAGACTGGTCTTGAACTCAGAGATCCACCTGCCTCTGCCTCCCAAATGCTGGGATTAAAGGTGTGCGCCACCACCACCCAGTTTGAACTCAACCTCTTGAAGAGCAACCAATGCTCTTAGCCTCTAAACCATCTCTCCAGTCCCGATAATCTGCTTTCTAAGGGCTCTGCATTCATTAGCTAATCTTAATCTCACCAAAGCCCCACCTCCAGATATGGTCAAATAGGGGGAGAGAGCTTCCTGATGTGAATCTGGGATCAGGCACAGGCTAATCTAATGTTTTGTTATGGTGTGTGGGACCTAGGCTGCTGTCCGGTGACTGGGATCTTCTTGCCACAACCCCCCACTAGCCCAGTTTCAGCACTAACCCAGTCAGGCAGCAATTTTTAGTAATCATGCTTTTGAAACAGGGTCTCAATGTGAAACCCAGGATAGCTTCCAACTTGTGGCAATCCTCCTGTCTCACGGATAAAAGGTATTTTGTTTTGTTTTGTTTTGTGTCTATATAGCTATGGTTATCCCAGAACTCACTATGTACACCAGGCTGGCCTCGAACTCAGAGATCCGCCTGCCTCTTCCTTCCACGTGCTAGGACTAGGCATGATCTCCTTCGTCCGGTCAAACAGTAATCTTAAAAACAGAAAAATATGAGATCCGTGAAGATGTTCACTGCGGTTTGTCTTACGTTGCAAATCTGAAACCTGGACGCCCAATAAAGGAGTAATCTTTAACAGTATGGTATGCCTTTCACCCTCCATGGCAGGAAAACCAGAGCCACCGGAACGCACAGTACCCAGACAGAGGCGGCATCCCTTTGCCTAAGAAACATCACTATGGAGCCAGGCTAGGGAAGCCACCACGCACCGCACGCACGGTTCTGCCCTTTCTGTTTGTGCCTGATTCTTGACTCTCGGAAGATCGTAAAGAAGTCTCGCGGCTCTGCCGGAGTTCCGCAGCGCGCGCCCGGCCCTTTCCACGGCTGCGTAGAGCGGCGTAGTAGCCATATCGGACCCCGTACCGACCCAGCAGGAGGCACCGCGGGAACGGGTCGAGACGCTGGGAGGCGACCGCGCCTGGTGCTAGGGGGCGCTGCGGAGCTCGGCGGGG